TGAATCGGAATCCAAGGACGACATGATGCTGAGCGAATGACTGACCTGGAAATGTAGAAAACAAGTTGGTCCGCAATCGAGGTTGGACGGTTGAATGATGAGACGAAGAAGGCATCCAACGATAGTTTTATTAGACCAGAGAGGAAGATGAGAAGACGAGTTATGATTGCTTTTGGGAAATCGAGCCAACCACCACACGGATATCAAAGGACGGATTAGATCCGTTGAAGGAAGGCACACGTGGACCTCGATAACTCCCGATCCCTCGACGTGGCTCGTCTAAGGAATGAGGAGTTTGGGGGCTTGTGAAGGGCCGTTACCTGCTGGGTAGCCCAACCCGTGTGCCCAAATACGTTTGGGACTTGTGGATATCCCAATGCCACAATTGGTCCTGAGCTGACCCGAACCAAAGAACTGTTGGGAGTCCGTCTACTGAGAAGGAGAACGCGGCTAAGTTGCGGGAAAACAGCCGGAAGAATAGGATCACGCAAATCACGGGAAAACAGCCGGAAGAATCGATAGTTACCTTAATTATGTAAAGAGATATGTATAAATAGGGGAGATCGAAACAAGGATCCTCAAGAAAAACTTAGCGTATAATTCCATAATTCTCGAGTTCTTGTTTCTAAGTTGTTTTTACGATCTTTCCATTGAGTCTGGTTATTTGGTGGGATTATTTTCCATCACTCATTATTTAAATGGTTCATCTTTACTCCATCCTAACCCACTCCTGGAACACTACCCTCATTACGAATGCATTTTCATTTTCTTTGATCAATACAATTTTTGGTAGCATTTCCCAATGGTTCTCCATGTGCACGATTTAATATAGTTACACATGCCCCTGAAGAACACATTTGGGAAACGCCAAGCCAAAAAAATAATGGAACAAAGAGAAAGAATTACATTTACCACCTAAGTGAGGGAAACAGTTCAAGAACAGCTCTAAACTGTTGGGTGCTATTTAAATTTGACTCCTAATAGATAAATTTTAAACGAGTATCTAGGTTGGTCGATATATTTTATTTCCATAATATAACATCTGAGATCATGTAACATCAAACAAACAATAAACAATCTATAGTGTAATGTAATTTAAAAGAATCTTATTTCAGACAAAAGTAATTGAAATTTTACTTCGATATCACAATGTCACATTCTCAACTAAGACATAAAAACCAAAAGCAATTCAAGTATATACTAATTCAAGTGAATACATTGAAATTTAATTTCAATATCACTTTTTTATAGTAATGCATAAATTAAACATAAAAAAATAAAAGTCATATTTATAAATTTAGTTAAGAAAAGGATCACACCTTGATGTGATAAGTGGCGTAGAGGCGGCGACCGACGAAGGAGCGGCGACGGGGAGATAGAGAGAGAGCGGCGCGACGACGAGTGAAGGGGACAATGGCGACGGCGATGAGTGTAGCGGAGGTGGCATGGTGTGACGAGCTCCAGGTGACGACGAGGATGAGGGGGACGAAAGGCGAAGTCAAGGGTAAGGACATCGAGAGGAAGATGGAGTGGCAAGGGAGACGAATGACAACGAAGGAAACGACGATGGTGAAGAGAAAGCTTCACAAAGGTGAGATCGCGTAAAGGATTAGTCATTGGTAGTTAAATTTAATTCATTATTTTGCATCAATTTTTAGAAATAACCAATGAAATATGTATTTGTATCGGTTATTACTAATATTTGATGCATGCCTTTTGCATCAGTTATTAGTAATAATCGATACAAATGCCTATTCCATCGGTTATTACTAATAATCGATGCAAAAGAGAACTGGTTGGCAAAAATATACACCTCATTTGCATCGGAAAAAAAAGTATTGTTTCATTTGTCTCCTTTATGAGTAAAATTATTAATCTATCTATCAATATATTCTTTTTTATATCCAATATAATACGCCTCATTTGTTCTATTTATTATATCGGTCTATCAATTTGTTCTAGTTATTATATCCAATTTGGCAAACCAAAAGTTATGCGTCATTGACAAAACATACGCCTCGTGACCATTGGATATAACAAATTGATCCTACAATTGATCCTAACAATTGATCCTATATACACGTGTGTGTGTGTATATATATATATATATAGAGTTTGGTTCCGGTGAGAAAGAGATCTAATAAAAGAAATAAGAAAACTTCACAACCGTTGGATCTGCTTCACTAATCGCTGACTCTTAAGGGCCTTATAGGAATTTCAATAATACAATAGTAGATCTCACGTAATTAGGATTCATTCATAGGTAACCGTTCTAATTAATTTGCGCACAATCTTCTCTTCGATTTTTTTTATGGCCGCTATCCTCTTTCTGGAGATGCTTTTCCCTCCTTTGATCCGGAATGGTCTTTAGATGAGTTTACACATCTCCCTGCAAGTATTCCAATGTGTGGTGTGCCATTGGGATAAGGCCTGGAAAAATCTTTATCTTTAAATTACATGCTATGGAGAATTGGAGATCTTGAGGATATGATGGTTTCGTTCTTATCATTTCACCTTTATGTTTTTTTTGCTTTTTTATTTGTAAAAAAACTTACAGACCGGGTGGGAACGTGTAGATTGAAACTAATTTGGGATTGCATCATGAATTGGGGGTAGTGCGTTCATGAGTTTTTGGCTTTTACTTTTTTTGCTAACTATTTTGCACTATTATGATACCTTTGAAGGTTGTTTTATGAATTCGGACTAATTTTTGTTTACCATTTTGTTGCGATCAAGGTTGTTTTTTTAATTTTTTGTCTGTTTTTTCTATGATAGTGCATAATTAGAATCCGGGTAATGCATTATCTAAATCAAAGTAAAAGATAATGTATTCTGTTACAATGCATTCTTATAATCAAAGTTGATGCATCACACATGAAAATTTTTCTGACATGAATATGATGCATTTGTATATCTGGATCATAGTTTTCAGAATCGGACCGGTAACCGAACCGGTCAAGGTACTGGTTCACTGGTTTACTGGTCGAACCAGTGGTTCAACTGGTTGAACCGGTGGTTTAAATATATTTAAAAATTATATATATATATATATATATATATATATATATATATATTTGTGTGTGTGTAAGTATATGTATATATATTTACACACACATACATACATACATACATATAGACACACACACACATTCTCATTTATAAATATATAAAGAAAGTAATTTATAACATTTAAGTAATATTATATTAATATACTTGAGTTATTTTTTAAAATTAAAAAATAAAATTTACATATTAAAAAAATATAAAAGAGTTTTAAATGAAGAGTTGATTTTATTTTTTTCAAATAAGTTGTTTAATATAAAAAAACAAAATCTTTGCATGATTTGCATTTTGTAATAGTATCAATAATATCAATGATTTTGTGTTTGACTCATAGCTATATAATATTATATTTATAAAATTGAAAAGGAATTTATATACAATTTTTTTTTGTAATTATGAAATATTATAAAAGATTACGTGAACTTGTAACAAAAAGCACCATTGCTTAGATGGTTAGAAGCTCAACCAAATGTCTACGAGGTCTTGGGTTCAAACCCCCATGGAGGCATGTTTTGGAAAAAATCAGCAAAAAAAAAACTAGGCGGACCGGTCCGACCTGCTGGTTTGGGCCGGTTCGAAGCAGGTTATGGTCCAATGGACCGGACCGGACCGGTTGGACCACCGGTTCGCCGGTTCACGGTCCGAACCGGCCGGTCCCGTCCGGTTTTTAAAACTATGATCTGGATAGTGCATTTTCTCTAATGTATTAAAAATATAATATGATGCATTTTAATATGGGTAAGAAACATGTTGAGTGATGTCAAATTTAAAAGGTTAAATTGTGTACTTAATAACGACATCATCAATTAAAAGACGAGCATCTTTGAAAAAACAATTTGTTGCTTATTAAATCAAATAAAAGAGCGGTATGTACTATGGATGTATGTTCAATTCTTGCACAGGTAAACTATTTTTCAATTTTGTATTACACTTGTTCTGAGTGTGTGTGTGTCTATATATATATATATATATATATATATATATATATATATATATATATATATATATATATATATATATATATATATATATATATATATATAT